CTGCAGTGGTGTGCACTAAACTGGGTTCTGGAACACACACGCAGCTCTGTCAATGTCGATGTTATCCGATTAACCCTGCGGAATTTTCGATTGAAATAGCGCGGTTGTGTCTTTACGACCATTTATCACGATTTATTCACTGATTTGCCATTTAAAGTTGAAAAGCACCCGCTGCTCAAACGGTCCGTAAAGATGTATTGATAGTTGCATGTTTATATATGGCATTTTATTTGCAAATTCTATTTCATATTTAATTTTTCGGCGTTTCAATATTATTATCGCGCGATATGTCAAGCAATAGGTGCGAATATTTTTGCATCTGTGGAATAGTGTTGTATTCACGAAGTGCTTTTATCCGTCGGCTAATTTCAGTACAATATGGAGACAGCACGCCGTATTCATTTCAAATATGGTCATTGATGTACTTTTTAGATACTCGACTCGGAGATTAACACTCTCTTGACCCACATATTGAAAAACCAAAGTTATATTATTCATCTATAGTTTTATTGCCTTTCTCGTGGAAATACAACACATACACTATAAACATATTTAGACACATACCTGACCTTTGTTTCTCACTTACAACCTTTGCCACGGGGGAGAGTGAGTCTATGAATTCATTTAGTCATTTTGGCGAATATTGCCAAAACTCACGCCGAAATATTCGCATTCAAAGGTTGATCCGTGTGTATCACGTTTCTGACGGGTATTGTGAGGTGGAAATATCTATAAGTGTAAGGATCGAGATTGCAACAGCTGTATCATTGGTTGGTAGTTAGATACTTTTAATTGAAGGTACCCTAATAAAGTCATATAAAAAGCATGACGAGCTGTTGTAGTTGCATACATTGTGTGACGAGAATTACTTGAAAAACCTGTGGAAATAAAGGGATATACTGACTCAGAACTAAGGAACAACTCAAAAATTATTTTGGGGAAGAGCTAAGCATGATTTTTTACACCGCGAGATGGCTTATGGTAGCAGGGCCTGGCGGCAATATATACTTAAAGTCTACAACAATGTCCTGGTTTTCCTAGGTTAGCGAGGATTGCTCCCTCAAATATTAGGTTTCATAATACATGTAAAAAGTACGATATAGTTCCTGGCACTCCGTATTCATTTTTTTAATAAATTAAACAACGAACAACATCGAACAACAACAACAACATCAACAACAACATCGAATTAAACATCGAACTAATGCTTGAAGTCAAAGAGTTCAGAGTATCGAATGGAAGTTCTAGTAAAATTAAAATATTAATAATTTGCGGTTAGAACTAGTATCAAAATGTATTACACGAACAAATACGTCAAAAGTCAAAGTGTCAAAATCAATTGACACCTCTAAAATCACAATTAAAAGCTAGTTTTTTTATTTTCCTACCCCTGAATCGCGCCATCAAAATTACTTACTATTTAATTCCAAAGCGGCTGACCAAACTTCCTCATTCCGAACACTGGACGTAGTCTGCTCAATTTCTCTTGATAACACACTGGAGTTTTCATAGAAGTGAGTTTCTATTCTAGATTTTCGAGTCCTCTCCCTCCAAGATAAAGCAGGGTTGTTCAAATCAGACGTTGAAGTTTTGGCGTTATCCTGCTTTAGGTGAGCGTTCAGTTGTCTGATTAACAGTCTCTGTTCCTTGAGAAGCTCTTGTTGTATTTCCTTAAATTGGATCTGCAACTTGAGTATTTTTTGGTGGCGTTTCCTCATTGCCTTCAAAAACTCGACTTTTTTCTGGTCAGCTGGACCGTCAGGAGAATCGAGAACTGCATTTTTTCGGTGGTATTCGATATGAGAAATCAGTTGATAAGAGAAATCAATTGGAGCATTGGAATCAGACGGTTGAGCATTCAACGTATCTTGCTGGTTCTCTGATCTTTTCTGATTCGCCGAGACGGCAGAAGAGCAGGAAACTTTGCTAACCTGTGGGAAGAAGGTGTGTGACTTGTTAGTAGTAGAGAGACCGGATACCTGATGTTTCAACAAGCGTTTCAGTCTCTTCATTGCGTTTCTTCTCCTCAAGGATCCTTTCCCCCGTTTTCGCTGCTTTTTTTCCGGCATAGGCTCCTTTGTATCGCTTGTATCCATTTTTAGATCCATCTCTGGCTAAAAACTTGATTGGCCAGAATAGCAGATATCTGTGAAATTCTTCTGACTTGTGGTGTCTAATGTTTTGAATAAGATATGAAGACCGGAAAAATTTAATAAACCTGCGAATAACTTTTCATGTTGTTAAAATGTCAAGAGCATTTGTCGGAACACTGATCTACCTACTTCCAGTCAACAGGGGAGAAAACTTTGGGACCGATGGATGGATTATTCCCCACGATGTGTATCGCTCTAAGTCCACAATGATGGCCATACGCGATGACGTAAAATTCAATTATAGAAGAAGAGAGTCAACGGTCTTTCCGACTTTAAAGTATGGGGAAAAGTATGAAAAAACCAATTTTACACGAACAGAACACAAAATTTAACTGAATTGTTTTCCCATCCGGCGGTGCACTTCTCAATGTAGGACCTATACCGTTGTCATCAAACCTCACACGAAAATATGAAACTACATATATGAACGTAGGCGTGAATGTTTTGGTGAAAAAGAACAATATTGACCCGCACACAGCTTAAGCAACTGTTTTCCATTTTTTGTCGAGTTATTATGACGCGTGAATTGCGTTGGCACAGCATATTTCACACCGATTCACAGCATGCAAGTTTCGCGCTGTCAGAGAGGACGTAGACAATTCAAACCAAGCCGCAATCAAACTCCGAAGAGCGCTTAATAACTGACCTTAATGCATTATTTATAAAGAAGTCGACTGTTAAACTTTTCTAGGAAAAAAATGTCATTCTCCAGGATAGATCCAAAACGCATCACATTAAAATTCCATGCAGATTTCCGCAGATCAGAGGATCACTCAGGTATGTTCTAAAATAAAGTCACCCTCAAAGGGTAAAAGAGTGTGTATATGTCAAAGGTAGTAATCAATTTGTGTTGAATAAAATTGTAAAAATTCAAAAGAAAAGAAACGAAACAAAAAGTTCTGATCATTATGCTTGAATTTTGAACTGAAGTTCCCTTTTCTTAAATGCATAGTGCCAGCTGGCGCACTTGCAAAAGCATATGGTTGAATCACTAATTTTAGGTGGGTTCAGTTCGATTACGCAACTAAACTACTGCCTGGCAAAGCAGAGAGTATCATTGGGTTTGAAGGCGCTGAAAGCTGACTTCGTGCTTTTATAGTCCTATACCAATGAAACTTTAATACTATTTTGATGCGAATTATTGCAATTTGCCGAATAAGGACGTATATCGCTTGCATATGGCCGGAGATCCCTGGTAAAAATTGGCAGTAGAATCTGTATTCCAAAATACCATAGACCTACAGCCGACTGTAAGATTTTCAATAGCTTCTATTGCCGGCAACACAATTTCTTATAGCCTTTTATAGCCGATGGCGATTAAGCAACAGCCTGACGATAAAGTGTATGCTATCCGTTACTAATTGCGGATGCTAGGATTTAGTGAGTTTTTGGACTACCGCTCTCTTTTTTGGCCGTAGCATCTTGATTTATTTTGCGAGGGAAGCTCCGTACTTTTGAAGGATGCCTGCCATTTTTAATATGTTGGAGCGCCTTCAATTTCGCACGATACTGTGCAATACCTCTGGTGTGAAATTGTTGCTTCAAGCGCCGTGGTACGCTGCGGCGCAGCGCGGCGGGCGGGCAGCCAGCGCAAAACGCGCATTGACGCCTACAAACCTAACAGGGATACTTCACGCATTGCGCAGTGCGTGAAGTATCCCTGTTAGGTTTGTAGGCGCCAGTGCGCCGCCGCGCCGCTCCGCTTTGTGTTAGGCTCTAATATTTAATCTCGTATAGTCAGCGTTATTCAACTCATGACTTTGAAATGTTTGCACACTCTGTATGGATTATTCCCATTTTAATTGATGAAAACAAATATGCAGTAAAGGAAAATATAATGTGCGTTTTGTAAATATAATGGTGATTCCGTACAAACTTGCGGATTTACAAAGCACACGAATTTCTACACAATTTCTTATAGCCTTTTATAGCCGATGGCGAAAAAGCAACAGCCAGGCGATAAAGTGTAAAGCCCGGCGACAGGAACTATAGCCCGGCTGTTTAATTTTTTATCGCTTCGTGTAGCCCGGCCGTATGATTTTCTTTGCATTCTACAGCCAGCTATATGATTTTCTATCGCCTTCTTCAGTCAGCTATAGAAACTCCTGTGGTATTTTGAAACGCAGCTCCTATCGCCAATTTTTACCAGGGATTGCTGATTGCCTGTGACTTATATCTTGTAACATTAGAAACAAGACATACACATACACCATACATGCAAAGCATGCCATGCATTAGATACATTTCCCGAAGAAAAGTACCTCGATGTCGAAAAATTGAAAATTAAGATTTATCACAACAGCATGCAGGAAAGTTTTACCAACACTTCTGCATAAACAAACATCCATAAATTTCAAAATATACTTGAGGTTAGCAGTTTTCAGTTTTTACTTTGTTAGTTTAAAGAATAGCGGCCCATTTTATAATATTCAGGAATCAGCTCTGTCGGAAAATTACGCAACATCACGGCCTTCGATAGCATTAGAGTGATCAAAATTGTTGGCAATCAATTTTTTAAAACAATAAAACATCTTATGCCTAGGATTTGAAGATGCAATTTGTCAACCAGGTTTAGCAACATTTTCCCCTGAATAAGTTATACTCTATAACTATGATGCATTCTATTCCTCGCAGAAAGCCTCATGTTTGATATTATACCTAAGACACGGGGTTGTGTAATACCTAATAGTCTAAGTATAAACGAATAACATTATAATTAAAGTACTAATGCAAGTGAAAGATTGTCAGACTTCTGTATTTGGAAAACTTCGGTTAGTATTGTCAAAGTATGTGCGAGAAATGTTAATGAGTCAATATAAGAGTAGTATTTTCTATGTAAATATTTACCTGATAGTAAGCAGCTTGATTTGCCAAGGGTGCGAGAGGTGGATAAAGGGGTTCAGGTTCTGAGTGAGCGATTGTCCAAAGTAAACCAAACGACAAAACCTGCGAACAAAATATGTCATAATGTTTAAATACTCACGGAAATTGTTTTAAATACCACCAGAGTTAAAAAAAAAAAATTAGAGGGCAAAGAACACACATATGCCAAGTGAAGTTTTCCGAAACATGAAGATGCTGATTATACTTTGCGTAAAGCTGTTTCATGGTTGGTATAGTGTATTATATTCGTATAATATTATTTATGATTATTTACAATATTAATATCATATTATCTAAAATATTATGTATTATGTATGTAATCTATTTTATGTAAATTATTTTACTAAGTATTTTATGCAAAACTTTAAACATCGAAACTAAATTTTTAGTCCAACATTCCAGTATATCTTGACATCACGTCAGCCTTTTTACCGAAAGATTTTCTATTTCAATAATGTTCCTCTCTTCCTTCTATTCAGTTATTTTTCCATCAACCAAGGGTACCTAGCTGCTTCAAAAATTCATTTCGTAAATCTCGAACTCAGCACTTGGTGAACTTTTGGTAAACTTTTCCCGAGTATTTTATATTTTTCGATGCACACGGTCATTGCCTCGCGTCAGTGCTAATAATTAGCAAACTAACAATAATCATGAACTGGTAATTATTACCAGTTTTTGAGAGTAACATACTTTAAGTTAGATACCAGTTCAACCCCCCCCCCCCAAAAAAAAAAAAAAATAAAACAGAAAATTGAGAAAATCACGAATGTATGAGAGCAAATCGAATTTCAAAACGGTGGTCTTGACCTCCAAAATGCTTGACCCCATTCGCACCTCGGATCCCAAAATTGCCCAATGCATGCCTGAAATTCGACCTTGCACCGCTTGAATTCAGCCGAGCCTCAGGAAGCATTTTTGAGAAATCTTGGACACCCCCCTCCCATGCACCTGCCACCTAACGCTATCGTACGGACTTCTTAAGTTCTTACGATATCTTGCGCTCGGCGTTACAAAACGACAGCCTTTCGGAAGGATTTTTAATTGCTCGTAATTACCAGTACGGACGCGGCGGCACGCTGCGCCATGCCTGTTTTTTGGATTTAATTACCCGAAAAGCGATTTTTAGCCCCCATTGTTGGGCCGAATTAATTTGAATAACCCGCTCGGGAGGTTCGGCAACTACAGCGGGAACAATCGGTTTATCGAGTCGACGATCAGTCTTCGCGACAGCGTTGTCGCTTAATGTGGAGGTAGTGCTGATTGTTTCCTTGTGTAGTTTTGCTGCTAATTTTTACAATTTTGCGTTAAGTTTGGCGGCGTAGCTCCTCATCCGACGCATTGGCCGTATGCGTGCGTGCAGTTGTGAACGCAATGCGTTGAGGATTAGTTTCCGGAGGCCTTACGCGTGTTTGAGATCACCAGGATAAGCCCGTATCCATGACTCGGTTATAAAAACGCCTATGTCCACCGCTGTGTTTCAAAATCCTTAAATTTCAAGTATTCCGCTCATGATAATCGAAATATGATACCGTCCTTAAAACTGATCTGTCCCCCTGATTTGAGGTGCAGAAAGCGAGTTTGTATTTTGCAACCTCGTTTTATATTACAGTTTTCGATTGAGAAATAAATCACCGAGCCCGCAGCACCAAAATTATGAATAACCTTTGTCACAGCTGTGGGAACATATTTATCACAATATGCATGTACTTTATAAAGTATATATTTAATTCATAAAATTAATGGTGCTCAATTTTGAGTCCAACTGCAGAACGAATCTTCTGATTCTTTTGTTTTGTGTCAGGGAGAGCACTGGCCCCTTCAGCAGGATTATCAACGAGAGAAAAAAGAGAGAGAAACGATGACGAGGAAGGAAAGGGATAATGAGAGGAGAGAAAAGGAGAGAGAAGGAACAGAAAAATAGAAAAAAATTATCCTAAATGAAATAAAACGGATTTATCTTCAAAATCCCATACCTACTTGAAATACCTCTCAGCGGCCACCGAAAACCGAATTGACACCTTAAACGAAGAAAGTGAAGTTTGTTTGTTTGATGTCTGATTTCTCCTTCTATAAACTGTATTCTATGTTCTTATGTTTGTATTTTTAATATTGCTTCTGGAACCAACTCTGCTCACCCAGCAATTCTATCAGTTAATAGCTGGAATCTGTCAATTATTCTTCATTATTTCGTGATTTCTAGGTTTAAAAGAAATCCACTAAAAACTGGCCTCTTGCGCGTTCCCGGCGACTCATCGTTACCCTGACTACAAAGTTCATTGCAACAAAACAAAGATCATGAACCATTCTTGGACTCGGTCTGTTCCTCAAACCAAAATCACTCACGGCCGTTCGCAGTAAGCGCCATTTCTCAAGGAAGAACTCATTTTAAAACAAGTCATGTTGTTTGGGTGGTCTGATATATGACAAAACTAACCGATCAATCTAGGTTAAGCATTTTAAGCACGCGCTAGAGCGAGTTGATTGCCACTTATCAATCAGTTAATCGATACCGTCTCCTTGCGAAAGGTGATTGGTCAAACGTTTTGGGTGAGGATATCTAAATTCGTGATTTATTTCTAGATAAATAAAATCGTAAAAAAATGAAAAAATAATAAAGAAAAATCTCTCTTTCGAAGGGAAGAAAGATGCATATTTAGGGGAGAGGCTATGACATCGCTGACAGGGAAAGTATTGGGTACCGATAGCCCCAAAATCATGGGAATCGGCCTAATACATCGATTTAGAACGAAATTGACAGAAAAAATCACTTAGATTAAAAAGAAAAATTTACAACTTTACTACTCACTTTCATGCCACTCGGGTTGTATTTAAAAATTTTACGACAAAAGGGTAATTTACAGAGGTACTCGCTGATATTTTCAAAAATTATAGAATTTGTCCAAGGAGATCTGAAGAATGATCCATGAGAATAAATGAAGACTTGAGGAGTCGGGGATTTTAAACCTAGTCAACGAGAAAGCGGTTTTGTCATCCCATACTCTCATTTGAAGCTAATGTAGAGATGCAAAGAGTATCTAAACCTATAGAGACTCATTGCGAATTGAAAATGTTACCACCTCAAGTCGGAGCTCAGCAGCTTCATCTGAGTGGTATATGGACGCATTTCTGTCAAACAGAACTATGTGCATTAAGACATGAGCACTGAGACCCATAAGAATACATGCATAACAAGGCTCACGTCATAATGCACATAGTCCCGTTTGACAGAAACACGTCCATGTGTAGAAAAAGATGGAGCTTTATTTCCAAAGGGACGGCTCTGATTGCGCATAGCAATGTTAAGGAAATTCAGGGATGTGTAACCCGAGAAGAAGTTGTAAAAGAACGTTACGATCGAAGACCAGGACGGCGGGCAGAGAAGAATCAGAGCAGTATCGTTTCCAGTAATGACGAGAAGAGAATAAGCCATAAATCCCAAATACGGCGCGAGGAATGCGCAACGCTCTTCATTGCGCGAAAAAAGGGGGAAAAAATGAGCCGAACAGAAAGCATCGATGGAGGGAACGAACGGCGCTATCCCTAGCGAAAAAAGGCAGATAATGGAGTTATTAACATAGCTTCCATTATCGCAGTAAAAACTAATATACTGCCCTAAGACACGCGAAGAAATACTAAGTCTCTCTAAGTGGGTTTCAGACTTCGTTCCTATCTTCAATAGAGCGAACAACGCCGGCAAATAGATAGGGGATCGCTCGATTCCAAACCCGGTTCAGGTTATAAAATGCACTTATACTCGGCGACTCGGCAGAAGGGCACGATGAGGAATGGTGAGGGGCAGGTTGGGTCCAGAAGTCGTGACCCCTTAGAGACCCGAGCCGGCTCAGTGCTGAAAATTTTACGCTTATAATTTTTCGATTATTAATTGCTGCGAGCTTTTATGAGCTTTGTCTGGGATAAACGCTGTTTTTTTCAGGTTTTGACACAATTTTCTTCGTCGCGTCCGCATAATGTGCCCATGGTTCTTCGATCAAAGTATAGTGGTCTCGCTTAATATTCCACCGGTGGAGGGTGAGGAAAATGAGACGATAGTTGTGGTGTAGCATCTGGCTGTGCATTTACTTTATCGACACTTTTTACCTCGTTTTTACGATCACAGTTGCTGGACTGGGTGATGAAAGTGACGAAGATCGTGACAAACACAGATTGTGGGACGACAATCGCTGACAAAAAGTGAAAACTTACTGGGTAATTCGCTATGCAGTAAAATCGCGATGCGAGCATCTATTGAAAGGAATGGCTAGGTACTCTGACAAATGGCAAAGTTGCTCATCTTCACGAATTTTTCAATAGAGCTCGTGTCGAGTGATTTTCTCGTACCAAATGTTAAAAACTCAAAGAGAGAACACCATCTAATTCTCGGGCTCCAATTTTCATCACGTTCAAGGAATAACTTTCTACAAGAATAAAATGAGACTGTTCACCACAGATTTTCTGCAAATTGCCTCCTCTATTTCAGAGAAAAATCCATTTTAACCCCTTCTTTTAGTAATTTTTATTTATCTTTGGCCGCGAATTCCAGAGAATTTTGAAACAGGAATGCCGCCGAGTTTTGTCAGATCATAATAAATCTTTTTTTTTTGAGGTCTCAATTACAATATCTACTATTTTTTTTTTTTTTTTTTTTTTTTTTTTAAGCGTAATAAGGACCAGTCAATTCGTCACATTTCATTTATTGTTACTATACTTTAGCGAGGTTAAACTTCGGAACACAATTTTGACACCTACTCATTGATTAGGATGTCTATTTCTTAATCGCTGATTAACATTTTGTTTGAAATAGTGTTTAAAATTGTACTGTCGGTGATTGTTCAAGTTAAAGGAAATTTGAAACTTTCTCTTAATTATCAACGTTAAAATTATTTACACTTACGGACTTAACGTTTTCTGAAAATTTAGAGCACGAATACCCAATTGTCATCTTATAACAGAGAATTTTGACAGAGAAAAATTGTAAAATCGAGGATAGAGTTACTATACAGCTATTTTCCCGTTGATGGCAGACAAGGTGTCTCCGTTTATTTCTGGCTCAGCACGTACCATTG